AATATTCATTGTGGCTCCTCTTCAAAATGTCCGCAAAGGCATTTGACCAAACCTGTGACACTTATTTCTGAGTAAAGGACTATAACTCAGTAGGAGAACCATGGATATGGATGCTTATATGTTTGTTTATATTATTATTATTATTATTATTATTATTATTATTTAATTAATTTTCAATACAGCCCTTCATCCAAGGATCACAAGGCATCTCACAATATAAAAAACACAAAAATGCATAACATAGAAACAAACGAAAACAATAACCCCTACCTTACACATTTATATTTCTTTGATTTCTATATGTGTGGAATGTGTGGACATTGGGATTGTGTCTGGATCCTGCCATTGATTTCCCCATGTTCCTCCCAAACTGTGTTCACTGCCTACACAGGCTTTAGATCAATGAGTAGGTGTCAGGGCAGGTAAATAGATGCAACCCTGATCCCCCATACATTCACATTCATAGATATGTCACTTGCAACAGTCGATGAGAATCTGTTATCAGACAGCCCTAGAATTATAAAGTCAGGGCATTAAGCAGCCGTGGTCTCACTCTGTGTACTAAGAAAACAGTATTTTAAGGACAAACCAGAACTGGAGACTATACCTGCGTTGCCAAGTTATATTCTGCTTGGAGAGTTGTTTGTGTTGGTAGGGTGCATTTTAGCCTGTTAAAAACTATTTCCCTACAAAGTCAGAGCATGAAAAGAGGCTCCTTTGTTACCGTGTTATTTGCTTCGCATACCAGGGACAAATTTACTGAAGAGAATAATTATTTGGAAGGGAAATGTTTGTTAGGCTGCTTCTGATGAGAGGATCCGCAGAACAGGGAGTGTTTTCACATACGGAGTACGTTCAGAGAAAACAGCTGTGCTTGAGGGCAAGCACTGTTCATACTTTGTAGCTTAAATTTGGCTTTCTCGTTGGGTGACCATGGTTCAGGGTAATGGACTTTGGATCCCCAGATATTGTTGAACTTTGCTGTTTAGTTGTTTAGTCATATCCGACTCTTCGTGACCCCATGGACCAGAGCGCGCCAGGCACTCCTGTCTTCCACGGCCTCCCGCAGTTTGGTCAAACTCATGCTGGTAGCTTTGAGCTACCACTGTCCAACCATCTCATCCTCTGTCGTCCCCTTCTTCTTGTGCCCTCCATCTTTCCCAACATCAGGGTCTTTTCCAGGGAGTCTTCTCTTCTCATGAGGTGGCCAAAGTCTTGGAGCCTCAGCTTCAGGATCTGTCCTTCCAGTGAGCACTCAGGGCTGATTTCCGTCAGAATGGAGAGGTTTGATCTTCTTGCAGTCCATGGGACTCTCAAGAGTCTCCTCAAGCACCATAATTCAAAAGCATCCATTCTTCTTTATGGTCCAGCTCTCACTTCCATACATCACTACCGGGAAAACCATAGCTTTAACTATACGGACCTTTAATCCCCAACTAACTTAGCCAAGAGACAGTGATGATGGGAACTGTGGTTCTAGATGATCTAGTAGGGTGCAACCTTGAAAAACAAGGTTTTTCAATGCCAGTAGAAGAAGAAGAGGAGGAGGAGGAGGAGTTTAGATTTGATATCCTGCTTTATCACTACCCGAAGGAGTCTCAAAGCGGCTAACATTCTCCTTTCCATTCCTCTCCCACAACAAACACTCTGTGAGGTGAGTGGGGCAGAGAGACTTCAAAGAAGTGTGACTAGCCCAAGGTCACCCAGCAGCTGCATGTGGAGGAGCGGAGACGCGAACCCGGTTCCCCAGATTACAAGACTACCACTCTTAACCACTACACCACACTGGCTCTCAGCTGCTGGGTAGCCTTGGGCTAGTCACACGTCTCTGAACTCTCTCAGCCCCACTCACCTCACAGAGTGTTTGTTGTGGGGGAGGAAGAGAAAGGAGAATGTTAGCCGCTATGAGACTCCTTCGGGTAGTGATAAAGCGGGATATCAAATCCAAACTCTTCTTCTTCTTCTTCAAAGCCCATGACACCTTTGGTAAAGGCTGTTCTCCAACTGGAGTGCTCGCAGGCAAATGTTTCCCAGTTGTAGTTGTTTATACTACATTTTTTTAGATTTGCCTGGAGACAGTCCTTAAACCTCTTTTGTTGACCACCAGCATTACGCTTTCCATTTTTAAGTTCGGAATAGAGTAGTAGCTTTGGAAGACGATAATCAGGCATCCACACAACATGACCAGTCCAACGAAGTTGATGTTGAAGAATCATTGCTTCAACACTGGTGATCTTTGTTTCTTCCAGTACACTGGTATTAGTTTGCCTGTCTTCCCAAGCGATGTATAAAAATTTTCAGAGACACTGTTGATGGAATCTTTTGAGGAGTTGGAGAGGGCATTTATAAGTGATCCGTGTTTCACAAGCATACAGCAAGGTTGGTAGTACAATAGCTTTGTAAACAAGCATTTTGATTTCCCTGTGAATGTCCCGGTCCTCAAACACTCTGCACTTCAATCAGGAGAAAGCAGCACTTGCAGAACTCAGGCGATGCTGGATTTCGGCATCCCTTGTGGAAAGATGACTGCCCAGGTAGGAGAAGTGACCGACATTTTCCAACGTTACACCATTGAGTTGGATTTGTGGCACTGCAAAGGGGTTATTTTGTGCTTGTTGGTGCAGCACGTTGGTTTTTTGGATGTTGAGCGATAGGCCAAGCTTTTCGTAAGCTTCTGCGGTGATATTTAAGATTAATATTGGCATCTTGGTACATGAACTCTTTCAGTTAAAAACACTTCTCTACACTTAGTTTAAGTAAACAGTTTCATCATACTGCAAGTTGAGGAGGGAAACTGATTATTGACTCCTGTGGTTACTGGCCGAGCAAATGTACGTTCTTGGAGTTTGCCGAAACCAAGGAGGATGCATTACTTAATGTGTGTGAAGTCATATTTGAACAGAACCTTGATTAAGATCCCATTTCCCGAGGAGAGGACAGGATGACTCCACTATGGTTTGGCATTCCCCGCCTGGCTCAGGACATGCTGGTTTCAAGTTTTCTGGCATTGTCAAAGTTTTCCATTTGTCGCACAGCACTGAGCTTTCATTTCAGACAGATAAATAAAGCACATGGCAGCTTAGGTCCCATCTTGCACCACAACTTCACACCATCTCCCAGGACTAAGGCCTCAATTTCACTGAGCAGGTAAAGCTGCCTCACAAACAGCTGCGCCATTTGGAATGTGGTGGCCCGCTGGAATGCGGAGTTACCGGTAAGCAGGGTTATCAACATCACCTTGCCAACAAAGGTCCGTATAGTTAAAACTATGGTTTTCCCAGTAGTGATGTATGGAAGTGAGAGCTAGACCATAAAGAAGGCTGATCGCTGAAGAATGGATGCTTCTGAATTATGGTGCTGGAGGAGACTCTTGAGAGTTCCATGGACTGCAAGAAGATCAAACCTATCAATTCTTAAGGAAATCAGCCCTGAGTGCTCACTGGAAGGACAGATCCTGAAGCTGAGGCTCCAAGACTTTGGCCACCTCATGAGAAGAGAAGACTCCTTGGAAAAGACCCTGATGTTGGGAAAGATGGAGGGCACAAGGAGAAGGGGACGACAGAGGATGAGATGGTTGGACAGTGTTCTCGAAGCTACCAGCATGAGTTTGACCAAACTGCGGGAGGCAGTGGAAGACAGGAGTGCCTGGCGTGCTCTGTTCCATGGAGTCATGAAGAGTCGGACATGACTAAACGACTAAACGACTAAACGACTAAACAACAACAACAACATCAACTGTCTGGCTCTGAAGTGCCCTCTCCAATTGCATGGAGCCTGGGCAGCCCCGTGGTTTTCCCTGGAGCTGAGGGCAATGAAACAATCACTGAGACAGCTAGAGTGCCGGTGGTGGAAAACACATTTTGAATCGAACCGAACACGGGTTAGAGTTCAACGTCGAGCCTACCAAGTGGTGATAGCAATGGCAAAGAGGACTTTCTTCACCGCCTCTATTGCATCTGCAGAAAATAGCAGCAGGAGACTCTTTCAGGTGGTCTGAAATTTAATGGAACCACCTTTGCCATCGGGGCCTGGTAAAGACCCCAAGATCTCCTGCAACGATTTTTCAAAGTTTTTTTTTTTGCAGATAAAGACACTCAGATTCGGACTCCACCATGGGAGCAGGGCTGGGGCGGGAGAGTGCTAGAGTCCTGTCTAGTCAAGTTGCATGGGATCAATTCCAATCTGTTACCTCTGAGGATGTGGACAGGCTGCTTGGACGAGTGAAACCAACCACCTGTCTCCTTGATCCTTGCCCATCCTGGCTCATAAAAGCGAGCCAGGGAGGGCTGGGCGATGGGCTCTGTGGGGTGGTGAATGCTTCCCTCTGTGAGGGAACCTTCCCAGACCCGATGAAAGAGGCGGTCACAGGGAATTTGTTGAATGCAAGCCTCCCTTTCAAAAGGCAGGATCGTTGCCGCTTAGCCAGAGCTCATGAGCAGATCTGAGCCCTGCCGAAAGCAGTGTCGATTGCTTTCTGCACCAAATTTTAGCAGCGCCATTAAATGTAGGCCCCATTGCAAAGAGAAACTGGGAGCTCACAGCTTAAACTGTGCTCCAGATCCTTCATTTGCAGCAGGGCTTGCTTTTAGCATGCTTTAATTCCGATGCTGAAAGCAAGTCCTGCTACTTTGTTTATTTGTTTGTCTGTTTATAATTTTGTGAAAACCAATAAAAAATTTTTGAAAATAAAATAAAATAAAGTGGTATAAAAGTGCTGTAAATATACCGTGCAGATAGAGCTACAGAGCTCTCTTCTCCCCCCCAAAAAAATATTTATTCCCACACAGCCAAACCTGCCTTGGCTGCCAGGGGCTGCCATAAATAACCATAATTACGGGTGAACTCTGAGCATTTGAGCATGGTGTGGAAATTACAGCTTCTCGCGCCGATGTGCAGAGAGTTTCCTTTAAGGATCTTCTGGCTGAAGGCAATACAGTGCGAAGGAGGAGGTGTGGGACGAATCACTCAAAGGAAGGGGAAGGGAAAAGAAAAAAAATAAAAGGCAGGAAAAGTTACTCCCAGAGAAAAACGCAGGGCTCGTCCTTTACCCTGACGTCAGATCTGTCTTCAATAAAACCTCCCTTGGAGCCCAAAGGGAAAAGTCAGACCCACTGTCAACCTCGGCTGCGCTCTGCATTCCCTCAAAGAGGTGCCTAATTTGTTCCAAAAGGAGTTTTATTTTTCTCCTTTTTAAAAGATCTGGGTTCAATCAATGTCTTTCATCCTGGCTTCCAGTGATGAGGTGGCTTTTGCCCTGGATTCTAGCAACCAACGGCATTCTGCAGGTGGGTCTTCTCCTTTTTCCTCTCGAATATTTGTCTTTTGCAACCTGGATGAAAGGAATGCAAAAGGCTGTTTTCTACAGGATGGGTGGCGTAGAATGCAAGAACAAAAACCCTGCGTATCTTACTAGCAATAGAGTTTGGGGAAAGAAGCAGATGAAAAGAGGGGGAGAGGTCTGGTCTGGCGAGGAAGCAAAGCCCTCTGCAAAATGCATTGTGCCCCAGAGGGAATATGTTGAGGTTTTCTTGACAGCTCAAATGATGATTGAGTGATGTGGGAAGGAAGAACTCAGACGCTGCTTTAGGGACAGATCTAATTTCTGTGCAGATCTCGCCCTGTGCCACTAGGGTGGTCTTGAGATGCCAGGGTGAGTTTTGAGAGTGCCCTGGTGTCCTAAAAAATAAAAAAATTGAGAAAAAGAACAGGAGATGCAAGAAGTGATATTCAGGGGGAAAGCTCAGCAGAGCCTAAAGGAGGAGATGGAGAATATTGTTTGGCTGTTGAGTGAGGGGGTGAGTGAGCCCCCAGACACACCACACGTGGCAGCAGCTGTGGGGATGATGCAGCGCCAGGAAAGGAAAGCAAAGAGGAGTCAGCAAAACTGCAAATGCTTTGCATCGGGAAGGAGAGCTGGAGAAAAGCAGTGCAAAAGAGATCTGGCCAAAGAGCTTGCAGGAGAGAGTGAAGCGGTTCAAAGAGGCAGACGGTGTTTTTGTTCATCGTGAAGATCTATACCGGACAGCAAGCTTTTTCAGATGCCCATCCCAGGGCAGTGTCAAAACCAGGTAGGGAAATAAGAGAAACTGCTGCATGACACGCAGTCTGGACACTGGGCATGTAACGTGTTACTTAAAATAATGTTGAGTAATGTGCAGTTTTCTTTTATGCTTGGAATATACATGCTTTTGCAGCGGGAGGTGATATATCAGTTTCCTGGGGTGCTCAGGCAGGCCAGCTGGCAAGGCGGAGTGGCAGCCTTGCAGGTCCTCCGGGGCTCTGTGATTGCAGCCTAACACAGCAAAGCACATTCAGTCATCGTCCATCATTGGCGAGCAAGAGAGGGCTAGGGATGTGTACTACTAGGCAGATTTTACTTAAGGAACAGGAACAGCAGCCACCAGTAAGTTCTTTGTACCGCTCTTCCTAAAGTGACCCATTGTGGAGCAGCAAGCAGCAGGAAGAGTCTATCTTAGGAGCGAGGAAAACAGAAACTCTTTACAAGGGCCAATCCAAGAATAGCTCCGGGAGATTTAAAAAGAAAAGAAAAGAAATTGGAGCTTTCAAAATCATAGGAATGATGATGAATGATGGCACAATCCCAGGAACAATGGAACTAAGGTCCTTTTTGCATCCTATCCATCACCCTAATTGCATTACAGTCGTACCTTGGATCTCAAACACCTTGGCTCCTGAACAAATCGGCTCCTGAACAATCGAAACCTGGAACTGAGTGTTCTGGTTTTTGAACATTCTTTTGGAAGCCGAACATTCAACGGCGCTTCTGTGACTTCCGATTGGCTGCAGGAGCTTCATGCAGCCAATCAGAAGCCACACTTTGGTTTCCAAACGTTTTGGAAGTCAAACAGACTTCCGGAACAGATTCTGTTCGACTTCCAAGGTACGACTGTACTTGCAAACAGGCTGTCATTGCTACCTTGTTTAATGACAGGCATGCATAGCTGTCAACTTTCCCCCTTTTTAAAGGGAAATTCCCTTATTCTGAACAGGATTCCTTGCAAGAAAAGGGAAAAGTTAACAGCTATGCAGGCATGGGAGAGCACCATTGCACTGAGACTGCAGTGCATGGACAGGGGAGGTTTAACCCTCCGCCCCAGCCATGATCTTGATGAAAATCCCCAGTGCAAGCTTTTCTCCCTAAGCATCAGGGATTCCCAATTCCCACCTGCAACCGGCAGAGACCGAAAAGGCTCTCAATTGTGCTTTGAGGGACGTAGGCAACACTGACCCAATGAAAGCAGCCTCTGCAAAGCTGCCTTTGCAGCCCCTCTATCAATGGCTCAGCCTCTCTCCTTCTCCCTCCTGGGCACTGATCAAAATGAGCATCAACCTGGGACAATGCCTTATACTCAGTCCATCCAGCTTAGTCCTCCAGGTTTACCAGGAAGCTGTTTTTCCCCAGTCCTACCACTAGGGGTCAGACCCGGGACCGTCTGCATTCAAAGCAGATGTTCTACCACTGAGCTATGGTCCTTCCCCTACAGCTGCCCCTCCACTTGTTCTCTATGGTTGAGCTGGCTCTGTGGGCGGAGTCATTGCGAGCCTCTCTGCTTTTCTCCCTCGTTGCTTCTGCTGTTGTTTATTTCTAGAAATATCCCTTTAAATGGCAAAAACAGTTGTGTCCGTGTATAAAATTTATTTCATTAAATGTATACACTGCTTGAGTGTTAAAAAAACAACAACCCAAAACACCCTCAAAGCTGTTTGCAGAAAGATAGAACAATAAAATCAAGAAAAATGACAATACATTTTTGGGTTACATACGCTTCAGGTTACAGATGCTTCAGGTTACAGACTCCGCTGACCCAGAAATAGTACCTTGGGTTAAGAACTTTGCTTCAGGATGAGAACAGAAATTGTGCCAGCGGCGGCAGGAGGCCCCCATTAGCTAAAGTGGTGCTTCAGGTTTAAAGAACAGTTTTAAGGTTAAGAACAGACCTTCAGAACGAATTAAGTTCTTAACCCGAGGTACCACTGTACAGTGGTTTTTAACCAGTGTCTTGTGGCACCCTGGGGTGCCTTGAATGGTGGTCAGGGGTGCCGCGGGAAACACTGACCTCTGTCTCTCTATCCTTCCCTCCCTTCTTCTGATGCCCTCTCACATCTCTGCCTCCCAAAGGCATGCATAGCTGTTTGTTGCAGCAGCCCTGGCTACAAGATCCCCAGGCGAATGGCGCTTCTTGGACTGGCCAGGGGGTGCTTCCCAGGCCCCTGTGGGGCAGTGTGAGGAGGGACCTCTCTTTGGGGTGTGGGGACGGACAGCTCAGAGACCAGGGGCGGCAACTGCGGCTGCCCAAGGATAAGGGAGAGGAAAGGAGGCTCAGGGAACCCTTCACAGGGGAAGGTGTTTGAAAAAGGGTGAGAGGCTGTTGGCTCTGCAAGCAAGGTGTGATGTAACTGGGCTCCCGAGCCCCACAGGAGTGCTGCAGAAAGCCTTGGACCTGAGAAAGGTTGAAAACCTCTGATTTAAAACAATACAATAAAAAAAAAGGACTAACACAGATTAAAAATTGCATCAGCATTTCTAAATACAGTGGTACCTCGGGTTACATATGCTTCAGGTTACATACGCTTCAGGTTACAGACTCCACTAACCCAGAAATATTACCTTGGGTTAAGAACTTTGCTTCAGAGTGAGAACAGAAATCGTGCTCCGGCGGCGCGGCGGCAGCGGGAGGCCCCATTAGCTAAAGTGGTGCTTGAGGTTAAGAATAGTTTCAGGTCAAGAACGAATTCTTTTTTTTTTTTTTTATAAAATTTTTATTGGTTTTAGAAACTTTTTTAAAAAAAACAAACAAACACCACAAATGACAAACATACACGTATAGTTTCAAGCATATTTTCATAAACCTCTTTCCTTTGACTTCCCCATACCCCCCTCTCTGCTTCCCAATGTCCATAGTTCAACCAGCAACTCCCAATTGTTACTTTCCAATCTCTATCATCTTAGTCCTCTTTTATATTTCTAACCTTATATCCCTGTATCCCTTTGTTTCTGAAAACCACAACATTTTAGCATTCATTAAGTTTATAGTAGTCCTTAAGATAACTTTTAAATTTTCTCCATTCTTCTTCCACCGTCTCTTTTCGTTGGTCACGGATTCTGCCTGTCATCTCGGCCAATGTCATATAGTCCATCACTTTCATCTGCCATTCTTCCAGAGTGGGTAAATCTTGAGTCTTCCAATACTTTGCGATGAGTATTCTTGCTGCTGTTGTAGCGTACATAAAGAAAGTTCTATCCCTCTTTGTCACCAATTGGCCGACAATGCCCAAGAGAAAGGCCTCTGGTTTTTTAGAGAAGGTACATTTGAGTACCTTTTTGATTTCATTATAGATCATTTCCCAGAAGGCCTTAATCTTCGGGCATGTCCACCAAAGGTGGTAGAAGGTACCTTCAGTCTCTTTACACTTCCAACATTTGTTATCGGGCAGATGATAGATTTTTGCCAGCTTGACTGGGGTCATGTACCACCTGTAGATCATTTTCATTATGTTTTCTCTTAAGGCATTACATGCCGTAAACTTAACACCGGTGGTCCATAACTGTTCCCAGTCAGCAAACATAATGTCATGACCAATATCTTGTGCCCATTTAATCATGGCTGATTTCACCGTTTCATCCTGTGTATTCCATTTCAACAACAAGTTATACATTCTTGATAAATTCTTATCTTAGTGTTGGGTTCTAACAGTTCAATCTCTAGTTTTGATTTTTCCACCTGAAAGCCAATTTTTCCTGTCCTGTTTGAAAAGCTCCATTACTTGGTAGTATTGAAGCCAGTTTTGTACTTTATCCTTCAATTTGTCATAGCTTTGTAATTTCCACTTATCTCCATCCTGTTCCAAAATTTCCCAATACTTCGGCCATCCGACCTCCATATTGAGTTTCTTTACTGCTTTAGCCTCGACTGGTGACACCCATCTAGGGGTTTTGTTTTCCAAGAGATCTTTATATCTCATCCATACATTAAACAATGCTTTTCTAACTATGTGATTTTTAAAGGCACTATGCTGCTTAGTTTTGTCATACCATAGATATGCATGCCAACCAAAAACATTGTTAAAACCTTCCAGATCCAAAATGTCTGTGTTCTCGAGGAGCATCCAGTCCTGAGTGAGCCAAAGAAAGCTGTCCATGGACAACGCTGGCTCACTCAGCCTGAAAGTGAGATGAGCACTGCCACAACCCCATAGTCGCCTTTGACTGGACTTAACCGTCCAGGGTCCTTTACTTTTACCCTTACCCAGGTACAGTGGTACC